TCCAGGGCAATTTTGTGTTCAGTAGAACAGCATTGGGTCCAAAATATGAAAAGCACATTAAATTTCATGCTATAGTTTCATGCTAGTTATTTATGAGAATGCCATTATGTGCTATTGGCTTCTTTCTTCATGAATATTCAACATGCATTGTGTGTTTTTATATGTAATTTACTGTGGCAAAGAAATACACTGTAGTTGAACCACGTTGAAGATATTCAATCAAGATCTACTTTTCCATTCTGTGGAATGGAAACATTTGAATATTGCCATAAATCTTCAATAATAGTTTGGACTGTGACTTAATCTCTGATTTACGATATAACAAGTGGGCCTAAAATTATATATGGATGTCTAGCAGACAAGTAAATGATGACTAGAGCCTGCTGTAAGAACAGTTTTGTATTTCAGAAGAAAAACAGCAGCAACAAAAGGCCAGGTATTTCCCTAAAGAGAAATTGGAATGTATTCTTGGCTTTATACCTTTGCATTTTGCAATATTCACTGACTTAGCAGTGCAGGACGCATGAGACACTTCACTGAGTGAGATCCAGAGTTTTCCCATTAACACAACAAGTAATGCAGCACTTGGTTACTCTTTCTGACAGTAACACCAAGAACTGGCAAAGAAGGTTGTGATATTGTTTTATTGCAAGGCATTTTCAAGTTTAGAATTGGTGGGACTGACCAAACAACCTGCACAATAAACAGGAAAAAGCTATTAAGAATCTGAATCCATTCTATTACTTCTCAGGAACAGAAAGTGCTTATTTAATATTTAATAGCAAACAGTTTTGAAAGATGTCAAACTATCTCGAAACTGAGATATTATAACAACAATGCTGAATTTGCAGAGTGAAAAACATCAAGATCTACAAATACACAGGACAAATGTTGACCTCAGATTAAGCAAATGTTATCCTTTTGCAAGCAGTGATGAATTCACTAATAGCACTTCTGGAATGACATTATTATCTCACTGAAATCAGTGACAGGAGTTCTATTGACTGCAATACATCCAAAGTTTCGTCCTAGAGCTGTGCTGTGAGGTGATGAAATGAAATTAATCAGATGTTGGGGAAGGTTGCCTGATATTGCTATCAACAGCACAGGTGTTGTTTTAATATAAAAAATTACATCAGTCTGGATGAAATAGAAGCATTAGATCAGAAATGACACTAAATGCAATAAAACAGATCAATGCATTAGCAAGCTTCAAAATGTGTTCAAACAACAACAAGGACTACAGTAAAAACCAGCTTTGAGTTGGAAATGAAACTGTGGCCTTACTGGGGTCCTTTGCAGCCTTGCTGATGATGTGACATCCCCCCAGAGCTTGGGGCTGTGCCCTGTTCTTCATTCAGTGCCTCTCACTGTGCTGTTGATAAGTACCAAACCAGTCTTCCCCCAAAGTGTGCACACCCCCTGATGTCAGTCCCATCTACTGCACAGCCATGCCTAACAAGGTGTTTGCATGGGAAAACCTCTAAGACCTGTTAATATATTAAGGAGAGATCCAAACTTCTCGTTTTCCTCAGTTTTTCTTAAACAAGAGGTGTGTAGAAGAATTAGACAACAGAGATACTTCTGTCTTCTGAATCTGCATAGCAGAAGCTTTGAAGCTTCTTTTGCATTTATACTCTTTTCTGTTATTTTTCTACCTCATTAAAAGGACAAAAGACAGAAACTTTTGTGGCATTCAGCATTTTGCAGCCATTTCCCATGTCTTGATTTTTTGCCAGCTGAGACCCAGTTCTTCTGGTACATAAGCAGCAGGTAATTCTGGAGGCTGAATTACTGTTTCTGAAAAGTGTGCACTATGGCTTAATCTTTGCTTGATTCATGAACAGAAACAGAGAAAGATAACAGAGTTAACATTCTTCTTCTGTGTTAAGATAGAAGAAGAAAAACCTCTATTTTCCAGTTTATCTTCCAGATCCCAAGGGTAAGAATGCATAAACAGAGTGGAACATTTGTTTTGTTAACAAAGCCCAACAGACCACCAGATAGCAACTTTAAATATTGCATTGTAAATAAAAGATGTAATTTAGGATGCTGTTTTATGTGGATCATAAAGTAAGCCTGGAAAAAACCTGCAGCTAGAGTAGTTGCAGAGCTCTAGTGACATTTCCACACATGGGTCATGTAACTCCACCTATTGAAGCCAATTCCAATCAGGCAAACCTGCTCTGAGGTGCTTTTCTGGAGCACTTTTTACTTGTTTCTTCTTCAGGCAGTGATGGTATTAGAAGTCAGGTGGGTTTTGGTGTTGGCAAGGGTGGTGTGGAAAAAAGTAGGCAGGAATGATGGTGGCAGGCCTGGAGAAAGGGGAGACAGCTGGAATGGAGGGTGGAGGCTCCAGGGCAGAATCTGAACCTAAATTACTCAGAGGGTCTCCCCAGCCTTACCAGTCCACAGTCCTTCCTTCATGGCTCGGCTGAACAAGAGGTATTCACCAAAGAAATTATGTGATCTACAAGTATTACTATGAAGAGCTGATTTTGAATGCAAACAATTCAAGTCCTCTCAATGTATTTATTATCAGGACATATTTTTGAAATGGGTTATTATGTCTCTATATATGCTCTTAGCATACCTACACCAGATTTTGCAAGAGAGAAAAAATGTGTTAGTCCTTCTGACTAAATTTTCATCACCTGTACTCCAACTTTGCATGAATACAAACTTATCTCTTACAGGAAAATTCTTCAGAAGCACATTTAGGACACAGAAATCATCAAGGTTTGGATGAATTTGACTGTCTAACTGTTTTTTCTTGTTTGTTTGTTTGATACTGGTACATTCAAATACCCCAGGATGCACCATCTGCTTGAAAGTATGGTACTAATGAAAAGGCCCACGGTGATAACACTGTATCTGACAAAAAGTGTTAGCAAGGAGGATGGCAAACAACTCATGTTGCCTACTAATAATTAATGGCTCTTATTTTTCATTCAGGTTTTGCTGCTCAATCTCTCTCAACTTTTCACAGAATTGCAAAATTGTTAACAGAGTTGGAAGAGATGTCTGGAGATCATCTGGTCCCGACCCCCTCCCAAAGAAGGGTCACCTAAAGCAGGTCACACCGGAACGCATCCAGGTGCATTTTGAATGCCTCCAGACAGGGAGACTCCATAACCCCCCTCTTCCAGTGCTCGGTGACTCTTGACATAGTAAAGTTCTTCTTCATGTTGAGATGGAACTTCTTGTGTTTCAGTTTATGGCCACTGCTCCTTGTCCTGTCTCTCGGCACCATAGAAATAATTGGCACCATCCTCTTGCCACCTGCCTTTGAGATACTTACATGTATTAATGAGATCCCCCTCATACTTACATGTATTAATGAGATCTTCTCCTCTCTAGACTAAACAGGTCCATTTATTCCCTGTTAGTATTCCTAAGACGTAATGTAACAACAATTTTCCTACTTTAATGGTTTTGGCTGTTTTAAAGGCCAGAAGGTCAGGCCCATTCACGTCAGTGCCCAGGTCTCTTTGGACCGGACCACAGCCATTGCAACGAGGGTACCTGGCAGCAACTGGGAACTGCCTCATCCATGAACAGCACTGATCCGTGTCAGAGCCACCAGTGCCGCCGAGACCCACCACCCAGACTCGCTCTGCTTTCTGCAGCTTAGAGGGAAAGGCCGGTCAAGCCGCTGCCCCTGAGGCCCGAGGGAAGGGCGCCCGCTGGTGTCCCCCAAGACTACAACTCCCGGCAGGCCCCGCTACTGCCGCGGGGTATGCCGGGTGCTGTAGTTCTCCCGGCGCGGCTGCCCAAAGCGCCGAGCCAGCGGCACCGTTCCCGCTCCAGCCCGAAGTGTGTGTGTGCCCTTGGGAAGGCGAGGAGCGGGGTGCTGCTTCTTCCCGCTCCGCCCCAGCCAGAGCTGCTTGTGGGGACCGGACCAGGCTAAGTCGCGGGGCGGGGAAAGACAAGACTGGATCGATGAGCCGAGACCAATGGTGTAGTTCAACGAGACCAGGTGCCGGGTCCTGCACTTGTGTCACACCAACCCCTGCAGCACTACAGGCTGGGGGAAGACTGGCTGGAAAGCTGCTCAGCAGAAAGGGGTCTGGGGATGCTGGCCAACAGCAGCTGAACGTGAGCCAGCGTGTGTCTAGGTGGCCAAGAAGGCCAATGGCATCCTGGCCTTTATCAGGCATCATGTGGCCAGCAGAACCAGGGCAGTGATTTCTCCCCTATATATAGCACTGGTGAGACTGCCCTTGAGAACAGTGTCCAATTCTGGGCACCTCAATTCAGGAAAGATATTCAGGTACTGGAACATGTCCAGATAAAGGCAACGATGCTGGTGAAGGGTCTGGAGCACATATCCTGTGAGGAGCAGCTGTGGGAGCAGAGTGTGTTTAGCCTGGAGAAGAGGCGGCTCGGGGAGGTCCATGGCTGACCGGAGGTTTTGGCCAGTTGGCGGTCAGTCTCTTCTCCCAGGCAATTAGCAATAGGATGAGACTACAAAACCTCAACTTGCACAGGAGAGGTTCCGGTTGGACATTAAGACTAATTTCTTCACATGAGGAATGATTAGGTATAGGAATGTGATGCCTAGGGAGGTGGTGGAGTCACGGTCCCTGGACGTGTTTAAAGAAAGACGGGACGTGGCACTGAGTGCCGTGTTCTACCTCACAGGTTGGACCCGATGACCTCGGAGCTCTTTTCCAACCCAACTGATTCGGGGTTTCTGACTCGCTCTAGCCGTCAGAGCGGGAAGGAAGGGTGTGTGTGGGAGTGTACGTCCGTCTGTTTCCACGTCCCTCTGTGTCCCGGTATCAGCGTGTGTGTGGGACGACCCCGCGGCGCCCTGGCGCATGCGCACAAAGAAGGCCGGGGGGGAGGAGCGCGCCGCCGCCGCCGCCGTGCCCGCGCAGGGGGCGGTGCTGCCGGGGCGGGGAGGGCGCGGGGCCGCGCTCGGGGGCGCGCAGCAGCAGCGGCAGTGCCCGCCCTCGGCCCGCGCCCTGCCGGCAGCGCCCGCAGAGCCGCGCCGAGACACCGCCCGCCCGCCGTGAGGGAGCGGCGGCACCGCCGGCCCCCTCCGCCCCTCCTCCTTCTCCTCCGCCTTCTCCTCCGCCTCCTCCGCCCTCCCCCCTGCCCCTCCTCCCGCCGGAGCGAGCGAGCGAGCGAGATGGCGGCCGCTGGGGCTCTGGCGAAGCACGAGCAGATCCTGGTGCTCGATCCGCCCACCGACCTCAAATTCAAAGGTGAGGAGGGGGGAACGCGGCGCGGCGGAGGGGAGCGGGGCGGCAGCGGCGGGGTGTCCCGTTCCGCCTGGGCGCCGGGCCGCCTCCGGGCGCCGCGTTCCCCGCTGCCTCCGGCGGGCGGGCCGCGGTGCCGGGCGCTGCCCGCCCGCCGGGGGATGGGGGGCGCCGCCGAGCCGGCGAGCGGGATCGGCCGCCGCCATCTTGGGATCCCGCGGGGATCCGCGGTGCCGGGTGGGATCGGCCGCCCCCTCCCTGCCCCTGCCCCCGCCCGCCCCGCCGAGTCACCGCTGCGCTCCTAGGCCCGGCCCCGCGGCAGCGGCGCCCGGGGACGCGGGTGTCGCTCTCCGGTCGCTGGCCGTGCGGGCTCCCTCTGGCAGCAGCGGGTAGGAGAGGCCCTGGAGCGGGCGGTGGAAGCCTTGCGGGGTTCCAAGCTTCACGAGGCTGCCCCGACGCCTGGCCTTGCCCCACTTTTCCTCTCAGGCGTGCTGGGGCCCGGTGCCCGCGCGGAGCCGCTGCGGCTCTGCACCAGCAGTGCCCGGCACCCGCGCCCTCGCCCCGGTGCATCCCAGCCCGGCAAAGGCTCCCCGCCTTTCCCCAGAGCTGTCACGTCTCAGGCAGGCTCTCGGAACGTAAACAGGGAGCTCGCCTCTTTCCTGGGAATGAGGGAGATGGAATGCGTGCCTTTCGGAAGTTTTATGTGTGTTGCGTGCCGACCGCATGGCTGTGACTGCTGACGTGCTGCTGTCAAAATAGGTCCCAGCTAGTGCTGGTATCGTGTGTGCCTGTGGTTTTCTCTGCTCATGAATTAGATAGTTGTGAAAGGAAAGGCTCTGTCAGAAATGAGTGATCGTTGAAAGGCAAGGGCATAAAAAAAAAAAGCGTGTCAGAACATGTAGTTTTTGTGATGATTTCTTGTACCTGTAAGGGGCATTGAGAAAAATCTCAGAACCTTTCAGATTTGGAATCATCAGTATTAGATTTTTTTTTTTAAAGAGTAGTTAATATTATGTGAACTTATATTTTTAAGTGTTGTGACTGGTGTCACCACATGTGTGTGCCTAATCCTGTGCATTCTTCTGTTTTGTACTTTAAGTATGCTCATTTTTCATTGTTTTAGAGAACAGAATGGAATTTATGATGTTGTAAAAATCTTCCACGGACAACTAGAGCAAATGAATGTTTGTATTAGAAGAGAACACTGTATTCCCCCAAAATACCTTTGGTCTGGCCTAGCATTAGCAAACTATACTTGTTTTATTGATCTGTCAAATCAATTAAACCCCAGCATCTGTCTAATTATGCACATTAATTTCTCGATAGCTTCAGTTTAAATTTTTTTAAATTGCACTTTCATACACAGACTCAAAACCGTTGCAGGAACTTGTCATTTTCACTTGGGTTTTGTGTTGTTAAAATGCTGCCAGTCTGGCTGCACTCATATTTCAGTGTGCTGTATTCAGAACAGGTTGGGGAAAAATACATTATTTTAATTTTTGTTTTTAATTAAAAAAAAATGCTGTCTCTAATTCAAAGCCTGCAAATGTGAGATGTCTTTGAGCTGGAACTAAGCTGTATTGATGTGATATGAAACAGTGTGTTGATAGAATAAATACTAGATTAGAAATTCTGTCTGTGTGAAGCTGTTGTCAGTCAGTGATCTTTATTGTGCTATGTGTCTATGCACTTAGAGCATGAAATGTGGATTCTTTAGGCATAAACTTCTGTTTCAGGCTAATGCATATATTAGGAAAATTCCTGTAGAGCAGACTAAGCAAAAACAAAATATGAAGCATAATGAGACTGCAGCACTCTCTATTACTGTACTATTGCAGTAATATACTATAGAAAGTGCTGTCAATTCAGAGAGCATTGAGTGCACTCTCAAGAAATATTTTCTAACTGCTTATTATTTAGAGGTGTTTAAAAAGGTTTGTGGGCCACAAACTAACCCACTTCTAAAGTACTGTGTTGAAGAATACAATATTGGCAGTAGTGAATTCTGAGTGTCACCTTTTAAAAAGTAATTGGTTAGTAAGAAAGAGAAAATATGACTCAGAATAAATGTAGCATAGTGTAGGAAGAGCATAACATTTTGTTAAAAGAATAAAACTCTGCGTTTTTTCAGTGCAGTAGATTATTCAAAGATATTTTATTGGTGCAGTCTTCCATTTTTATTATTATTGTTGATGCATATGAACAGAGATCCAGTTTAAGTCTAAACATTTGAATTGAGCAAATAATTTTATTAATTTTCTTGCCTCAGGAAGTTATAATGGGTTTGCTGACCTTTAGGGTAACAGTGAAATGTGATAGTGTGTCCCTTTACAAGCAACTTTTTCATTAAATATATGTAGTACTTAACATGAGGAGTTGTTAACAAGCCTTTAAATTAATCATTGCCTGATGAAACTGCTTTTTTTATTAATAAAACCTAATTTACTCTGTCAGCAAAAATAAGGTCTGTGATACATTTATCCTTGAATTTTATTCAGCAGGATTCAAGGGGAGCTCTAAGAACGTGTCCTGTGGTAGCTAACACGTACCTACATGGTTCCCTCGGTGTCCAGGATTGCAATCCTGTTTTTATAGTCCTTGTAGTTCTAGAAAATTCAGTCATTAATAGTGTTTGGGTCATGATTGATTCCTTCTGACCCTCTTTGGTAGGTGGATTTCTTTGGATTCTGAAAACATCAGGAGTATATTAAGAAAGCCTACAGAACAATTAAGTACTTTTCATAGTGTTGTGCAAATGTGACAAAGGGAAAAATTGTACTTCAAAGTGATGAAACCAAGAGGCAGTTGATAAACTCTGTAAAACCACTCTCAGACACTCAGCATGGAGCACTGAGAATTTGCCCCGTGGCAAAACTCTGGTCTTGCACCCAGGCTCTTCAGCCATATTGCTCCTCCAGGCTGGCTTTCTTCTGTATTCTCATGTGTTTGTTTAACTTCCCAAATCTAAAGTTGTTGGAGTTTTATTTAGGACTGGATAGGAAGAATTGAAACACAAGACACCTAAAAGCAACCCCTTTGGCAGGTGGAACATCTTCTTGCTGGTGCCTTCTTCATGTGACTCATACATGTAGTCATTGTTGGTAGTTCTAGTTCAGTGAAGATTATGGGAATCTGGAATTGGTGCCCTGTGAATAAATATGTTTTTAATTTTTTTTTTTTGTAAGCAGTCATGTAGTTTAATAGCAACATTTGAAGTTTTAAGTTCAAAAATTTGTAGCTCTTTTATGGAAACTCCTTCTTCCTTAAGGCCAAAGAAGCCACTTTTGCAATTTTAAGTAACGTGGATTTAAGTTGATCCTGGATTATGGTAGTTTTTAAAAAAAAAATTAAAAGCCTTCTCCAAATGTTTAAATCAGTCATAAGACATGCTTCTGCAACACCTAATTGAAAATCAACACTAGTTGATTTAATGAGCTTTGGAAGATTAGTAGACAGTGTTCAGAATTTGAATTTCATGTGATTCAGAGGTGTCTGACTAGCAATGCAAGATTCTAAAAATGCCTGAATTTTCTAAATTGTTATCCTTTACTGAAGTTCTTGCTTACAAGAGTGTGAAGTCCAGTTATGTTACCTTTGTAAACATCTCAAAATAGTGAGCTACTCTTTTCCTTTAGCAGACTAAAATAAAATTTGGAATGTGTCTGTGTGCAGTAAATTTTCTTTTTGGTGGGTTGAGTTACTAGGAGAGATCAGTGTGACAGAGAATATTTCATTTCTGATTGTTGATCTGCATCATAGCCTGGAATTGTCAGTGTATAAAATCAGCTATCAGCTGGTGTATGTTCAAATGACTTTTCATGGGAGGTAGAGAGCACTTCACTCAAGTATTGCAGCTTATTCTGAAATGCAGATTTCGACAACCTTTTAAATACTACAGAAATATTGCTGTAGGTTATTTTGTAATCATTACACTGCTATTGGTAACACTGAAAGCCACGGGATATGTGTTGCTGCAAATCGAGAAGGTGGAATTTAAAGGCAAAAATAGCTCAACGTTAAATGCATCCCCTGCCCTCAAGGTCTGTTGCCAGAATTGGCCTAGGATGCCTTTTGGTGTAGGCAGAGTTTGAAGTATTCAAGTGTGATCTTACTGCCTTACTTGTGTGTATCTTGATTATGTCAAATTATGCCTATTTTCACTCTCTTCAAGGTACCAGTAAATTTGTGATGTCCCGATTTTCTAAGATAGGTTAGAAAAAAAGGTGATTGGGATGTCGGTTTTCTGCTGTCTTCATTCAGGAACATTTTTGAAACTAAAAGAGTGGGAGTGTAGAGGGGGGAAAAACTGGTTGTAAGTGATTACTAATATAGTTGTGACTTTCTGATACTTTGAAATGGTTCCATTTAAGTTAATATTTTTACTGGCTGAGAATTGCATAATGGCAATAAAATGACTCAGTATTCAACACATAGTCTGACTTTTTTTTTCTTTTAAATACAAGAGCGATTCTTGGCATTGTTTGCTCTTCGTGTATGTATACTTCTATCCATTGTTTCATGGCTCAAATGTAGTATTTGTTAGTATTTTAATTTCTTTACATTATATGTGTTATTGAAGATCGAAGCACAGGATGATTTGTGGGAATGTGTTGAGGAAGAAAAAGAAGGATAATGTTTTTTTACCAGGTGTTGCTTATTAGGTGGTATTATGTTATACAATCATCTCTACCACTGTGCTAGACTGCATTTAAAACTGCCTTGTAAAAAGGGAATTATATTGATCTGTGAAGTCAGGTGTGTTACAGTGTTAGATTATATTTTGGCAGAACTAGTTTGTAATTTGGTTTAAGATTCAGTAATGAAGTGCTTTCCTGTGGTGGTAGAGGTATACAACAGTGAAAATTTAGAAGTTTAGTCCTTTACCTGAAAATTATAGGGCTCTGTTTTGCTTAATATTGCTGTTGCTTCACTGAACAGTGAAACACTATCCAAACCTCACATCATATCCTTCCAGTGTGTACCAATGATTGGTATAAAAGCTTCAC